CCCCGTCCGCCCCGCAGTGAGTCCTTAATTAGGTCCCTAAATTCCTCCTGGACGGCGCGCAGGAAGCCCCTTCCCCTTCTGCAGCCTCTCTTAGAGACCGACCGCTGGTCCCCGGCTGGTTTTCGGCTGCGCTGCCTGGAAGACCGAGGTGCTAATTTCCTTTTCCTTATCCCAGGGGAGCCTTCTCCTTTCCCTGCTCTCCTCCCCGTTCCCCCAGCCCCGCTTGCATCCTCCTCGCTCTCCCCTTCCTCCCACGGGGCGTCAGAGGAAGCCCAGGGACGCTGGGTGGACTTGAGGGCCAGCCGGGAGGAAGACTTGTTGCCTTTCGAGCCCCTTCCACGGGCGGGGCGGGTGGGGGGGCCGAGTAAGCGGAGAGCCTCCATTCTAGGTAGGACGGTCCGGCCTCTTTGGCCCTGCCCTCGGGTCCTATAAGAAGCGGCTGCCTTCACACCTGCCTAGATGCGCTGAGGAGGACAGCCGCGCCTTCAGCACTCCTCTTGGGGGACGGGGAAGAAAGTAGATAAAGTCCGCCCTCCCCTTCTCTCTCTCTCTCCCCCCCCCGCCCCATCCGTCATCATCATCTTCAGCCAGATAACGGGGACAGAAGTGCGCTGGGAAAGGCAGAGGCAGGAGAGGCGATGACTTCCAGCAAAATCGAGATGCCCGCGGGAATGAAGGCGGACCCGGCGGCCCTGATGGCTTCTCTGCACTTGCTGCCTTCGCCCACCCTCAACCTGGAAATCAAGCACACCAAAGTAAGTGGCCCCTCTCGCTCCTTTCCCCCTTGGGAAGCTTTGGGAACGAGGAAGCCCTTTGGATGCTGAGCCGCCTCCAGAGGGACCTTCCCCTCTGCAATTCCCCCCCAGAGTTTCTCCGGAGCCTTGAGCACAAGCAGTTGGTGGCTACTGAATCGGAGAGGGAGACCCCCACCACAATTTGTAAGAGAGAGAAAGAGAAGGAGAAGATCGCGTTGCATTTCAGTCTCCCAGTCTTCCTTTTAACCTACTACGTCAGGTTTTTCTTTCTTTCTAAGAATTTTTCTTTCTGAATGTCATTTGTTCTAGATGAGTTTGGGGGAACTTATTTGTTCCTTTGTCTGAACCTTGTTCTTTCCAACTAAAGCTGCAAATATTTTGTTTTGTTTTCTGTTTAAACTGGTCAATAGACGCCTCTCTGGGGTCTCCTCCGTTAGCATTCCTGGAGGAGATGCAGTCCAATCAAGCCTGGCGAATTCGGAAGGAGTTCTCCTTTGCGAAGCTGCTTCTTAAAGAAACAAATAGTAGAGACTATCAGGGAAAGGCTCGTTTCTTGTTTTTCAGCACTTGGAGTTTTTCAAAGGTTGAGATAATTACCCCACATTGAAGTTCTAATGGCCGGTTTAAATTTGCAACGTTCTGTCTGTGAAGTCCTGTTTATATTTCACAGCGGTGTTGGACATGATCTTCTGGGAAGATTCCTTGCACAGGTTTCAGGGTGATTTCATCTGGGTGGAATTTTGCAAGAGATGCTCCCACTAGATCATAGCCTAAAATCAAACCTTCCTCGTACTCTAATCCTGAAATGCTTTAAAAGGAGATCCGGTGCTTCAAACTTGAACAAATAATTGATCGCACTTGAAGAGAAGTACCGAGCTGGAGATAGGATGGTTATGAGGTGTGTTTTTAGTCCCATTTGCTGAATAGCGTTTTACTTTCAAAATGATTTTCTGCATTTAGTAATTCATTTACCACTTCTTTTAAAAATTAAGAAATCGCTAGGCTCAGCAGATTAAAAAGCTCTTTTGTAGCCCTGCAGATCATTTGGCTCAATTATCCACATTCATCTTAAAAATAAACCCTTCGGTTTGTTTGCAGTAATTTTTTTTAACACCCGCTGTAAATCACTGAGCAGATTCCAGGGAGGGAATGCAGGGAGTGCAGCTCCAGTGAACTTTGCAAAAGCAGCTTGTAAGTCCTCTGGAAATCAGTGGGGTGTGGGGCTGTGGGTCCCCCCTCCCTTGGATGTCTACCACATTTGCTTAATCCTTTTGTCTGAAATGGAATAGGGTTTCCTGGCTAAGCAGGGGGTTGGACTAGAAGACCCTCAAGGACCCTTCCGACTCTGTTTCTTCTTCCTATTTAACTGTTCATTTTAACTGGTGGAGCCAACATTAGTGCCCCAACACGAGTTCTTTTTTCTGACTTTGACCAGAGCCCAGAATCTCTCCAAGTGTCTTAAAGCATCTCTTCTTCTGACGTATTTCTTCCCATCAACGTTTACAAATGGCCAACGTGGTTGCCCTGGCATCTGGGTGGCAGAAAGAAGGTGGAGCTGTTGGTCCAGGCTTGCAGGGTGCCCGGCACTCTTCCTGGGGGTAGAGCTCTGCCCTCAGGCCCCCCACTTCAGGACAGAGGTTTCCGGCTGCCTGTTTCATGCAGGAGGAAGTCAAGGCTTCTGCTCATCCCTCCGGGGTGGGCCGTGGGCAGGATGGTGACTGGCGGCTGCAGTACGAATCCTAGTGTCCTCCCCTGTGGGTTGTGGGTCCTGAAGGATGGGGCACCTGGCATTATAACTTAGCACACCTGGAGAGGTTCCTGCAAGTGAGGCAATGTGAAGCCAGAAGGGAAAGCCTCCTGCATGGTAGGACCAGAAGAGGCAAAATTGCCACCTGGATCTGCTTTAAGGGCCCCTTGAACTCTGGGGGCTTAGTATAAATGGGGGTTGAGCTGGTGCAAAGCTCCAGAGGAGGGAGGTGTCCCAGGAGGAAGGTCATGCCCCTTGGCAGAGGAGGCTCAGGCTGTCCTGGGATCCCCCAAGCCGAGCCAGGTGGGACCGGACCCTTTCCTTCCTGCAGAGGCTTCCCTCCCGCAGATGCCCAGATTTTGCTCTACGGAGCTCCATTTTCGGTGGTGATCAGTGGGACGGTCCTCTTCCCAAGGTCCCGAGAGAGAATCCGAAGGGAAAGGATGAAAGAAGCGAGTTATTCCTTGATTCCCCACCCCCATCCTGGGTGTTTTCCTTGGGGTCCCTGCCTCTCTCGCCCGGATCCTCCTCTCTCTCGGCTTCTTCTCCTGGGCAGGCCTGACAAATGATTTATAGCTAACTGGAGCCTTTAATCGAGGGTCCTGGCTCTCTGGACAGACTCTCATCCAGGCCCAGATCGCCTTTCTCACTTTGGGGAAAGAAAAACAGTGAGGCAGAAAAGAGCCGACTGGCTTCCTTCAGGCGCTGGGCTCCCTTCGCCCTCTGAAGTGACAACTTTTCTAAACAATCCTCTTCAGAAGCAGAGTTGGGAAGGCGGCAGAGGCTTCCCTCCTTGGCATCTCAAAATCTGTGTGTGTGTGTGTGTGTGTGTGTGTGGTTTCTCTTGCTGCTTCCCCTGTAGGAGAAGGCAGGGAATCCGTGGGAGGCTCTGTGCTCGCGTAGCCGGCCAGGCCAGGCAGCCTTCCCACACGGGGGCCTGTGCCTCAGTCAGGAGCTGCATCAGAGGGTCTGGAGCACCAGAGCCCTCGGCTCCCCCCCAGGCCTTTTCAGCGGGTTTTGGGCAGGGCCCCGCCAGGGAGAGCGAGGGTCCCCTTTGGGGCTTCCAGGGGCTGCTGGGCAGCGCCCTCCCTTGGATGCCCCCCTCCCACCCTCCGGCCGATCCCCCTGCCTGCCTGTGGGGCAGCGACATTTGTTCCCCCATTTGTTCCCCACAGGTGCCTGCCAAGGGAGGGCTGGGAGGGGGGAAGAAAGGAAATATTCTGCTGACTCTAGAAATGGTTGCCTAGAAGTCTCCTTGTGTTAGATAAACCCAGCCTATCGAGAGGAAGGAAGGAAGGAAGGAAGGAAGGAAGGAAGGAAGGAAGGCCTCCTTGGTGACTCACCAGTCTTGGACACATCGGCCGTGGGACTGAGGCTTTGCTGGAAGAGGCTGCCCAAAGATGAGGCTCCCTCTCAGCTGCAGCTGTGCGGCTCCTTCTGGGCTCTTGCCAGCCCTAACCTGGGGCAGGCAGATTAATTGGGGGTCAGTCCGCTGGAGAAAGGCAGCCATTTGAGGCTGGGGGGGCTCAGGGTGGGGGGGAGCGCATGGACTGTGTGCTTCCCCTTTCAGAAGCACTTTGGGGCCCTGGGCCCTGCTTCCTTCTCTGCTCGTGGGGATTCCGGGGGGGGAGGGGAGGGGAGACGGCTGCATCTGGACCATTTGCAGATGAATTCCAAGGGTTTTGCTTGGCAAGGCTTCCCAGGAAGTGAGCTCCGGGACATGTGTGTGCTTGTTTGCAGAAAGCATAAGTGGGGAGGCGTAAACTATTGGGAGCAAAGCCCATCTCCATCGCCCAGGACTCCAGCGAACGGTAGGCAGAGGCACAGAAGTCCTGGAGCCGCCCAGAAAATGGCAAGTGGCCCTTCAGCGGGGAGCCAATGCCTCTCCATGACATCAAAGGAATCCCTGTCTGAGCCATGGCTCTTTCGGGGGGGGGGGGAACTGTGCCTGCAGCCCCCACCTGTTTGGTTGAGATGTTGCTCTTCTCTGCCCTGGAGCTCTGGCTTCTGGGCTCTGCCAGCTGCTCTCTTGGGGTGGCCCCTCACAGGAAGAGGGCCCAAGTAGCCCTTGCTCCCAGTGGGAGGGGAGGGGGCTGTCCCTTCAAAAGCTCCTTTGGCTTCATTTGAATCCCACCTGGATTGGCAGCCTGGCTGCTCCCATTTCCCAGCCTGGGGGCCCCTTTCACATCAGTGCTGCCCCCTAAATGATCCTTCTTCAGGAAGGGCCCCCAGGGGTCTCAGGTAGGATGAGGCAGGATGGCTGGGGTGAGAGGTGGCCTCTTGTGGACTTCAGGGGGGGAGGAAGGGGGGGAGAAAGTCTGGAGAGATAAGCGTAGGCAGGAAAATCCTGCTCCCTTTGCAAACCTGTTTCTAAATGGCAATGGTGGGACCAGTTAGCACATCTGGCCTGGAGAATATGACCCTTTTGTCCAGCTGTGATGTGGAGGCAGGACACATGGTTGAACCCCTTCCCCATGGTGGATCTGGGGAGCCAGCCAGCTCTCCTTGCAAGGGGGGCTGTGCATCCCCCCCCCCCCACAGTGTGGCTGCTGGGACAGGCTGGGATAAACAGCCCCTCATTGGAAGACAAAGTGTGTTATGATGGTGGAGACAGCCCTGTTGGTCTTCCGCCCGCTCTGTGCTCAGGGTGAAGAAGCGCCAAGGGGGGGGGGTCTGCAGGAGAGCCAGTGCCCCCCCCCCCCATTCAGCTATGTAAACCCAGTTAATCACTTTCTGGAGCTCTGCTGGGAAGAGAAATCACAAGCTTAGAGTGGGTGGCTTCCAGTGGGCAGAAGTGAGGGGGGCGTTTTTTTTATTTAAAAAAATATTGTTCATTTACAAACATAAACATTCCATCTGTCTACCTGCAATTTGTCCTCTGGTTACAAACATCTCTGTGCAACATCATTCACATTTTCCACCTCATTCACATTCATATAACATTATTTCACTAAGCTTAATATTATAGTAGACACGTATAGTAAAACATTTAAACATTAGAATGCTCTCCATTTTCTTCTTGATATCTTATAATAATAATAGTTTAAAATTAAACATCCTTATTCCCATTATACACACACACACAATATCCTTTTTATTTACATCTCTATCTTAATATATTTTTACTTTCTCTTTAATCCTCATTTCCAAACTCCTTTTTTATTCTCCAGCCATTGATAAAATACCTCCCATCTCACATAATATTCAGTTTGTTCTTTCTCTCTAATTGCTAATGTTAATCTGTTCATTTCTG